TCCCTTGGTCTCTGACACTCATCCGCTGTCCTGTGATGTTTGGCTCTCACGATCTATTCAGCTCAGCAAATTGTGACACTTCTAATGTGAAATCTTTCTTTTCTCTGCTCATGTAAGATCCGTGGTTATTTTCCCCCAGATTTTCTTCTCCTTTATCTGTGCCTGCGGCATGGACGTTACACACGGGGACACATGCATGGTTAGCACCCAGACTGTTTCCCTTGACTTTCCGTTTCTCTACCCCGTTTTGGTATTTCCAGGGGAATTTTTCTGATCTTCCAGGTTACTCTCTTGTTCCTCAGTATTATTCCATGTGCAAATTCATCCACCTGCCAGTTACTTATTCTGATTTTATAATTTCCACGTTTACGGACTTGACTTGGTTATTCTTGAACTGTGCACAGTTTGATGTGATCAGGGGGCGTGGAGGGGAGGGTGCCCGCCATGTCCTTCCCCGCTCACCCACCCACGGTGCATGTCTCTGTGCTTCTGCCCTGGTCACTGTTCTGTCCCAAGGACATCTATGCCCCTCTCAGTGATGGTCACAGTCCTGGCGCTGTGGGTGGAGTTGGGAGACAGGAATTCTCAGGGGCCCAGCAACTCACCTGCACCTGCTGTTAAATCTGTGGCCCATGATGGCTGGGCTCCCCTGGGGCCCGGACCCTGCTGGTGGGACAAGGGCCCCATGGGGTCGGGCAGGACTCCCTTTGGAACAATGTTGGGGAGCAAAGGTCTCATCCAGAAAGCACTCCACCCTCCAGTCTACTTTTTCGTCCCCAAGCAGCTTCTGCCTCCCTGCATCTGTGGGTCCCATATTTATGATATTTCATGTAAGGTTTTGATAGGCACCAACCTTCCTCTTGTTCATGTATTTCCAAGGTACAGATTAGGAGGAAGAGCCTGAAGCCATCTTGTCCACAAATGGAAAGTTTTTAATGGGGGAAAAAACCCCCAAATACTAGTGAAACAAAGAGGTGTGTGAGCTAGAGCCAGGCCAGAGAGCACCAGTGATGAGTACCTGATAGAAAGGGTCAAGAATCAAGCACCAGTGATGAGTACCTGATAGAAAGGGTCAAGAATCAAGCACCAGTGATGAGTACCTGATAGAAAGGGTCAAGAATCAGAGAGCTTCAGACAGCTGACTGGCATCTGTCTGCTCCACAGATGCTGGCAGTGGTCTGGGGCCTGCACAGGGAGCAAGCCTCAACCTCGGGTGTCTGGGGCAGAATCTGTGTGTCTCCTGAACCGGCCAGAAGGACAGCATTTCTCAGAACCCACGATGGAGCAGCAGGGAAACTACCCAAGTGCTCACTGCCCAGAACAGCAGGTGCAGGGCCCAGGGGCCCAGGGGCCTGTGCCCCAGCCTGAGCCTGGCTCTGCTGCTCCATGATGCCCAGGCCTCTGCCCCACTCCACTCCTCCTCTCCTCTCTGTCCTGCTCTGTCCTCCTGCTCTCCACGTCTCCCCACAGGCTGCACCTTCCCCACTGCTTGGCATCTCATTCTTCTACTTTACATGCACAGAGGAGGAAAGGAGGGTTTAGTACTGAAAAAAAAATCCCAATTACATCATTTACAAACTTTCCCATATGATCAGAACAGAAATTTATGACTAAGAGGGACCATCATTTTCCCTGATAGAAATTGAGATGCACCACTTCTACACACTCTTGGAAACTAGGGTGTTCCCAAAGATCTTCAGATCCTGGGGTCTAGCCAAAGATCTCCGGAGACTGGACTGGCTGTGGAGACCCAGACTGGCTGCTAGGCATTGGCCAGAGGCTTGGACTGCACGAAGGCCCCAGGGATGCCCCCATGGTGGGTCTCCATCCTCTTGCTTCCCTGTCTCATTCCTATTGTCCCGCTCCCCGCAGTACCTGCAGCACTGAGCACCTAGTACAGCAGCATGAGGTCCTCCTCATTCAGCCTTTGGAGAAGAGACTCTCAGCAGCTGGCCGACGGGGTCTTGCAAGAGTCCCAGGAGGCAGGAACTAGAAGCTGCTCTTCAGGATGTTTTGCATGAAGAGAAAGCGAAGAAGCAAGAACCTCCTCCAGGGTTTGATCTCTGTTTCCTCACATGGAAGGCAGAGGCGACGGAGACTGCTCCCTCTAAGCTGAGGGATGCTTCCCACAATCACTCAGGTTTCTTGGGAGAAATCCTGCCAAGTTATTGTCTGATTCTGAATAGAGTATCAGGTCTTAATCTCTCTAAACTGTAATACTAACCAAAATATTGACTTAGAAGCAAGGATACTCATTGCAACACTGTTTATCATGGTGAATAATGGTCAATACGATGATGGCCCCCAAATAAGTAATTTACAAAACAAGTTACTATTTATCCAAACATACCAAGCAACACTGCAAAGATCTTTGAACACTGAATGGCATGAAAGCATAACAATTTTTTAAAAAATAAAAGCAGGTTACAGTTATTACTCCTTTAAAATCACATATTTATGTACATGGGAGCACATCCATAGGAAATACTCCGGCTGACGGACGTTGAAATAATAGTACAATTGTCTGAGTGATGGAAGTATGAGTGAGTTTAATAGTTGTCTCTTTTATTGTCTGTATTTCTAAATTTTCTACAATGAAGACACATGATCTCATATTTTAAAATCCATAGATTTTTGTGGCTTCTCTCAACTCCAGGTAGTAGCCCTCAAATGGCAGAATATTCGGGTCACATGCAGGCGTCTGAAGTGTGTGGACGAGAGGAGCATTAACCTCTTAGACTGTCCCCATCTATGCATGAGAGTGGCCACTGGCTACTTAGCCATCAGAACAGACCTTGGAAACAAGGAAGGATTCCCGATCACCTCTAACTTCCCACCAGTTCTGGCAAGCCAGAAATAGGTAGGTAAGTAACTTGTAATGGATAAGGGTGATTTGAGATGCTTTAGTGGGAGGCTGAGCAGAGATACATCAGGTTACCTATGTCCCCAGTTCTGGCAAGCCAGAAATAGGTAGATAAGTAACTTGTAATGGATAAGGGTGATTTGAGATGGTTTAGTGGGAGGCTGAGCAGAGATACATCAGGTTACCTATGTCCCTATATACAGTTTTGATATGTTCCCCTAGAAGTTTTGATGCCAGGGTTACTATTAATAATGAGAATGTATATATCCCCCAGGGATGGTTGGGTGTAAAGAACAGGTAGGAGGGGTTTGTCCCTGCTAAGATGGTACCAACATTAACTGTAGGGCTGAGATTACCTCACCCTATAACAATTAGATAGTTGGGATTTGCTAACTCCCAGTCCCTGATGCTTGTAGTCCAGAAGTTAGGTGGTCTTGCTAAGGGTGTATAATTATTTCAATACCAAACTTTAATAATTATAACTATTCGTAATTTTTTTTCTGATAAACTTCAAATTTGTTGTGTATAGTTTATAAAATATTCCAAATTATCTCTGTGTAGATTAATGACCAAACCCAAGCCCACAGTCACCTCTGTCCTTCCCTTTGGTGACCTACCTTTAGCAGGGAAGTGGATTATACAAGATGTCAACCAAAGTGTTGAAAATTCTGATAGTTGCATTTGATAGTCATTTTGTTAGAGATTCTTACTACTCAACTGTTTGAACTTTTTTGTACTAAGTTTGAGGCTAAGTGATAATTATGCATATTTTATTTAATGAATACTTATTTAGTGCTACTTATATGGCAGGCATTGTTCTATGTGATTTATGAATATTTGACAAATGGTTTCCCCCATTTAAAGGTGAAGAAATTGAGGTACATGGAGGTTAAGTAGTTTGTTCAAGACTACACAATTAGTGGGGGAAGGGGTTGGGACTCCACCCTCGGCAGGTGTTCCCAAAGGCTGTGATCTTACTCCTTGCATGATTGTGCCAGTGGATGTAAAACATTTAGCACTTCAAGAAGACATAAATACCCTTGTTACTTTAAATCATTGTGGATTGGGGCACCTGGGTGGCTCAGTTGGTTAAGCGACTGCCTTCGGCTCAGGTCATGATCCTGGAGTCCCTGGATCGAGTCCCACATCGGGCTCCCTGCTCGGCAGGGAGTCTGCTTCTCCCTCTGCCCCTCCCCCCTCTCATGTGCTCTCTCTCATTCTCTCTCTCTCAAATAAATAAATAAAATCTTTAAAAAAAAAATTAAAAAAAAAATCAATGTGGATTAATGTATAAACCAAGCATTCAAGAATGGACAAATATGGCAAACTGGCTCAAGCTGCTGTTCCTTCCCACAAACTCAACCCTGAAGTTCTCACAAAAGCAAGAGAGGATTTATTTAAAACTTGAGATGTCTGTATGTGACAAAAGACAACAAAGTCCCAGTTTGGAAGACAAAGAGAAGTCCAGAAATGGATTCTGTTCACACCACCTCAGAGCAGGTTTAGGTGAAACCTTGTCTCTCATGTTTATTATTCTTCCTCAACTCTTTGAACTTTGAAGCAAATACCATATGATTTCACTCATATGTGGAATTTAAGAAACAAAATAGATGAACATAGGGGAAGGGAAGGAAAAATAAAATAAGATAAAGACAGAGAGGGAGAAAACCATAAGAGACTCTTAAGTCTAGGAAACAAACTGAGGGTTGCTGGAGGGGAGATGGGTGGGGGATGGGGTAACTGGGTGATGGGCATTAAGGAGGGCACGTGATGTAATGAGCACTGCGGGTTATACACAACTGATGAATCACTAAACTCTCTCTCTGAAACTAATAATACACTACATGTTAACTAAATTGAATTTAAATTAAAAATTTTTAAAAAGAGAAGATAACAAAGGTAATCGCTGTGCACTGCTTCTGGGGTGCAGTAGCAGTTCAGTAAGTATTGAATGAATGGAAGAAGACATTGGGAAAGAGCACGATGAGACCCAGAAGATGACCCAGCTGGCCTGCTCAGCCCCTGGAGCACATTCTGTCTGTGAGACGTCATGAGGGTTGGGCATTTTTATAGTTTTTTGCAGCCCTTAGTGCTGTTCCATCCTTGTTGGTGTTCTGCCCCCCAGTTCCTCCAAGTGTTATGTCACCTTCACGTCAGAGTAGATGACATGGGAGTCCTAGGAGAGATGCACAGTTGAAGGAAGAGAAGGAACATGGCTGGTGGGGAGCAAGATGGAGAAGGAACTCTCCAGGAATGCAGCTCACCTTGTTCTCCAGAATTGTCCTGGTGTTTGCTGTGGAGAAAAGAAATATTACTGAGCTCTTGGGTTTCCACTTAGACCTTATTCCCTAACGGTGCTCTGGGGCACAGGATGGCGATGCTTAATGTGTGGTTTCCAGCTTCTCTTGTTCTGTAAAATCCATGACTTAATGTTGTCCACTCTGCAGTCCTTCTAAGACCACCCAAGCTCTAAGCCCTCTACCAACGCTTGTTGAACAAAACCTTTCCTCTCTTTGATGCAGTTTCCATGGATTATTGACAATATTCTGTCAGGGCTCATTCTCCTGTCATCCCTTTATGTCCTTCATATAACGACCACAGGTGTTCATGCACTGCATAGAAGGAAACGGGACACAGAGATAAGGGAGGGGAGAGCCTGAGTCACACGGCAGCTTGAGGGTGTGGGGGCTGCTTCCTTCTCCCTTCATTCCAGGTGGGCAGAGTGGAATTCAATCCCCCTCCTGCCCTTGGCAACACACCAACACCTGGAGGGCCTGGAGGATAAGCATGACTGTACCTTTTCAGTTTTGCTGGGCTGGTCCCAGGCAGGGAGGCAGAATGACAGGGTCATTGGCTCTCTGCAGGCTGCAGTGGTACAGCTATTAGCAAGGCTGGCCGAGGACCCAGAGGAGCGCAGCCGGGTGACCCTTCCCCAGGAAGCCCGCCAAGCTGCCAGCGGCCCCTGGCTCCAGCAGAAGCAGCCAGGAGCACAGAGCAAAGGGCATGGTTGAAGGTTGCAACTTCAAGGGCACTGGAGAAGCAGCTTGAAGAACACAACTCTGCCCTTCTAAAAAACCACTGCCTCAATTCTTGCAAGGCTACACGTCAAAGGGCAGATTCTCTAGATTAGGCTGATGCGTTCATGACCCCTGCCATGGCATCTCCAGACGGCAGGTCCTTTCAAAGGAGCCTGGCAATGACCCCGCTCAACTGGGACAACTCCTCCTGGACTTTAGATACCATACTTCAGATACTCTCAGTCTTACCTGATTTGATGTTATCCCTTTGCCTTGTATCCCGGATTCTCCCTAACTGTCTATTCTCAAGTGACCATCTGTTTTTGTTTTGTTTTGTTTTGTAATTCAGCTTCTCCATGAGAACCTGCCTGCAAATATCTCTTGCTCCTTCTTGGATCTACAGATTGCATATCAAGGTCAAATGATGTATGAAAGCCTCTATTGCACCCATGGTGCCCCTTTCTTGGGAGGATGCATCTGACAAGAACCACTTCGCGGTTTCTCACCTGAGTCTTCCGGTGGCTGCATGCTCCAGACCTGGGAATAAACCACATCCACATCTACAGGGCCCACTGCAGGGAAAAGACATGGTTCAAAGATGTCCACGGACAAGGGTTCAAACTTCATATGTGCCCTCCCAGACCCCTGCTTTGGGACTGTCCTCCTAACCCCAACATGATTCTCAGGGTCATTTATTGAGACTGGGCCTCGTGGGGTCAGGGCGTGCAGACCACCTCATGGCTTTTTTCACCTGCCTTCTCTTCCTTCTCGGCCATAGCCCCAGAGCCCCTTCCAGTGGGGATACTCACCATTGACATACTCTGGTTGCATCTCCTCCATGTCTGAGAGTGAGCTGGAGTGGGTGGGCTCCTGAGGTTTTGTGCTGGAAGCATCTCTGAGAGAAAGCAAACTAACTACATGATAGTCTCCAGGGCAAGAGTGAGAACAGAGAGGAGGCAGGCTGGGAAGAGTGTGGGAGAAGCCAGGCAGACATGGCACTTGGCTTGGGTGATTTGATGGCCCTTTGTCTAGATTCTTGGGCTGTGGTCTTTTAGGTGGGCAGCCAGAGATGGGCCACAGAATCACAAAGTTCTTTATTAATAGGATAGCCACTCTGATCTCGCAAAAATGTCCTATTCCTCATCTTTAGCTTTTTCAAAAGCTATAAATAGGAGAATGATATTGCCTGAGATTTAATTTTTTCTCTTATAAGCTCTCCTAGAACTTCATCTGCTTCTTTCTCATCAATTTATCTCTCTTTTTTGTATATTGTATGTGTCATATATTCTCCATAAAACAATATGTCCCCTGTGGAAATAAACTCCATTTTATGCATATTTTCACACCTTTAAAAGTCTAACAAGAACTTACTCATACATTGTAAGTACTCCATAAATAATCTTGAATATGTAAATTAGTAGTTTAGAAATCTTGAATCGTATGCAAGACAACACCTTGTCATGTGGGCCACCCAGAGTCAGCACTCTGATGGCATAAATGTAATGAATACAGACATGGCTGAGTATCATAGAAAGATACTGTGTGACCTGTATAAGCAGAAGGAGCAGTAAGTATTGAAAATCATGAATGGGGAAGTTCTCTAGAGTTCCCACTTTGAATAGGAAAAGTTCTCACCTGGGTACATGAGTGACAGAGCGTCCTCCTGAAAAGCAGATGAAGGAACATTCATTTTAGGGGCAACGTCTTTATCTCTTAAAACTTTCCCCTGACTTAACCACGTGTCGTCACTGGTAGGATATAAGATTCAGAGTAGGGATCCAATTGTGTTGTGTCCTGATGGCTACTTATTTTCTCCAGCACTGTTAGCTGGACAATCCATTATTTTTCCCCACTGATCTAACACACCACTTCAAATGGCAAACCCCACAGGCATGGGTCACTGTTTCTGGACTTTTTTATTGCTCTTTCAATTATTGCAAAATATATATTAACTGCTGATGACTGCTCTCCTTGTTTAGGTGGAACATTCTCACTTTTTAAATGTTTTGATATTTGCAACCCCCACTCTAAAGCAGTGGTCTTGGGGTCAGGCTTGATGTTGATATTCATAAGACCCATGGGGCTCTCCTTTGCACCATTTAGCTTTACAGAGAGATGCAGAGCAAGAAGCACAACGTATCAGCATGGATGTGTCAGCTGCATCACCAGTGGTCAAGGAGCTCTTTCCTGGTCCTTCAACTAACAGCTCAGGGGACAAGTCCACATGGCTGGGAGCAGACGCCACTATGAGGGACATGATCAGTCTCAAGAGCTGTGTTGCACTTGGGGGTATGCTCATTTATGCTGTCCACCGAGCATTTATAACCCAACTCAGAGCACTTCCAGTTTATTTTATTTATTTATTTATTTAAAGATTTTATTTATTTATTTGACAGAGAGAGACACAGTGAGAGAGGGAACACAAGCAGGGGAGTGGGAGAGGGAGAAGCAGGCTTCCCGCGGAGCAGGGAGCCCGATGCGGGGCTCGATCCCAGGACCCCAGGATCACGACCCGAGCCGAAGGCAGACGCTTAACGACTGAGCCACCCAGGCGCCCCAAGAGCGCTTCCAGTTTAGACGCAGCTCAGCAATCATGAAAAATATTGCCTAGTAGCCCAGCTGGAGCTCTAACTTTATCAGTTTTTTTTGGAGACAGTGTTAGAGAAGGAAGAACTGAATGATTTTCTTCAAGGGAAGGAAGAAGGATCTCAGGATTTTCTACCAAGCCAAAGAGTCATTCAACCACAAGATGAGGGATGCACATCTTCAAACAGTATGAAATCAGTGTATGTGATTCTAGCAACTCCTTCCTGAATAAATTATTTTTAAAATGGACTTTAGTCTTCTTCCTAAGCACTTTTGAACAATAACAAAAACTGATGATATCTTGGCTCCTAAAGAAAACTTCAAAAATATTCTTAAAAATGAGTATGGTATAAATGATCTTTGATCTTAGTGTAACTGGAAGTTCATAACAAAACGGTGAAGAAATCTGGATATATCTATAACATATACATTTAAGGGAATTAAGTCTTAAGCTACTAAATACATATATAAATATATAAGACAAAAGAAAGCAAATAGATTAAATGTCCAGTTTGTTCTAAAGAATAAGACTAACAAGAACAGAGTGCAGCAACTTAAGGAAGATAAAAGCAGAAATTTCAGAATTAGAAAGCAAACTGGTAGATCAAATAAATCATTCTAGCAGCTTCACTTTTGAATCGAAAGGGTGGATACTCCTTTTTCGATGCCACTCATGAACGTGAAAGGAGAAGGCACAGAGGGATAAATGCAACCACGGGGAAGCCAGAAGAATCACAGGACACTACTTCACTCGATTCCAAGTAAGCAAATTTAGGAGCCTGGATAAAACAGATGATTTTCTAGGAAAATTCCCCAGAAGATAAAGAAACTGTGGGCAGAGTGTGGCAGTCAGGGTGGAGTGTGTTCTGCTACATTAACAAACCAACCTCAGTTTGCAGGGGCTTGCGGCAGTAAAGATTGGTAAATTCCCCCCTTGCGCTGCAGACCTGTCACAAATCTGCCGGGGGTTCTGTCACTAGGGGACGGAGTCACTCGGGGACCGAGGCTGCTGCTGGAGGCCATACCATCTGGTGACGCTGTCAACCCAGCACGCGTTTGCATGAGCACCAGCGCGTGGGAAGGACATCGGGACATCAACGCCTCGCTCCTAAATGCTTCTGCCGGGAAACAATGCAAGTGGCTGGCATTTCACTGGCCGTGTCTCACTTCGAGGAGACAGGAAAACTAACTGTCCCTGCGCCCGGGGGTAAGGAGGGCTGGGTGGCCGTGAGCAAGAGCAATGCCTCTCACAAGATTAGTTACAAGAGCAGAGATGGTGACAGCTGTCGAGGACCTGCTCCCCCAAAACCCACCAGCTGCAGCTTCCACAGGGGAGTACCAGGAAATCTTGAGACAACAGATAATTATGTAAACTATTCCAGAGCACAAAAGACATACAAAAAGAAGGAAAATGTTGAGCTTCCTTTGTAATGGTGAGTACAAAAGGCAGAAAAGATCACAATAACAACAAACCTGGCAAATGTCAACATTACTATTAATGAAAAAAAAAAACTTCAAAAGAACGCGAGTTTATGTTAAAAATGCATCAACTAGGGGCACCTGGGTGGCTCAGTTGGTTAAGCAACTGCCTTCGGCTCAGGTCATGATCCTGGAGTCCCGGGATCGAGTCCCGCATCGGGCTCCCTGCTCAGCAAGGAACCTGCTTCTCCCTCTAACCCTCCCCCCTCTCATGTACTCTCTCTCTCTCAGTCTCGCTCTCTCAAATAAATAAATAAATCTTTTAAAAAAAATGCATCAACTAAACTTGGATTTTTACAAAGAATGCAAAGACTAGTCAATATTAGGTATTCTGGTATATTATAATTAGTTGATTTAATAGCTGAAAAGAGAAATATAGGATTATCTTCACAGATACTAATGAGGTATTAGCAAAAATTAAAAGTTGCTTCTGAGAAATAGTCTTAATAAAATAAGAATGCTGGAGCTTCCTTAAAAGGGGTATTTGAATATGTTACATAGCAAAGAAATACTAGAAAAGTTTCCCTCAAAAACAGGAACCTGACAAGCTTATCCACATAAGATACCAGAGGCACTTGAGCATATAATTAGACACAAAAAAAAATAATTTGTGTAAAAACTGAAAAGGAGCAAGTAAATGTTTTATTGCTTTGTAGATTGTTTCTATATTTGAATCAACAGTATATCGGGATATAACTTGAAAAGTGGGAGAATTCATCACAATGAATGAATTAGAAATTATTTTATGTTAACAAACAACCTGTCTCTTCATATCCACATATTTTTATCAATTAAAACCTATAATAAAAGCAAAAAATCACAATTCCTTAGTCTTAGATAGTCTGTTTAAAAAATATAACTTCCACTGGACTTGAAAAAACTGAATTACATTTGCACTATCTGATGAGTTTCCAAAATTTCTTTCACTTTGTGGTAGTTGATAGATTTAAGGAAGCATTTTGCAAGAGTTTAAAAGTTGGGTGCCTGGGTGGCTCAGTTGGTTAAGCAACTGTCTTTGGCTCAGGTCATGATCCTGGAGTCCCAGGATCAAGTCCCGCATCGGGCTCCCTGCTCGGCAGGGAGTCTGCTTCTCTCTCTGAACCTCCCTCCTCTCATGTGCTCTCTCTCTCATTCTCTCTCTCAAAAAAAAAAAAAAAAAAAAAAAATCTTAAAAAAAAAAAGAGTTTAAAAGTTTATCTTGCATTTCTTTTGTGCCCAGTGCTTGTCCTGTATCTTAGAGATTAATAAATGACACCTCACCGAAGCAGGGGATGGGGGAAATGTGCAAGAGGAGAATCGTTAAGGTCAGTTCTAGGCAGGCTTGAGGCTTTGTGGCCGGGCCAGTACACTCCTTGTTCGCTGTGCCTCCTAGTGGCTGTATGAACAAGGCAGCCCACTTAACTTCCCCAAGATTGTTAAACCTGGACCATAATACACACTTAAAAATTATTTTTTATAATTACAGATAACATGTGTAAGCTTGCCATACGTAATAGTTGTAAGAGTTGGTCATTGGTAGCATGTCTTGGCTAGCAGAGTACGAGTAGGGGTCAGTATGAGATATCACTTAGAGGAGTCCTCAAAATTCCTGTTCTTACAAATAATACAGAGATACTGTCATGCCGAAAACACAGCAGCTTTATGGGAGTGTTGGTGAGCGAAGGTCGTGCTTTCATGCTTCCAGTGATGACAGAAGAAGAAATTGAACAGACCTTTCTTCCGAGAACTGGAAATATTGGACAAAATATTGGTAGAAGTCTATTTATAGTGTTGAAGAGGTGAAAGGATAGGGAAGAACTACGAGGCTCCGGGAGAGAGACCTGGCTCTGGAACCGCTGGTCCTGCGGGGCACTTGCCAAACCCAGACAGGGTGGCCCAGGGGCCGGAGCTTCAGGAAGTCTGGTGGGGCGGGGAGGCACGGACTGGAATGTGTAGTGGTTTGTGTGGAAATTTTAAAAACGTGGCTGTAAATTCTTTGACGTTGAGACCTCCATTTGGAGGTGGAGGCTGTGCTCCCTCCCCTTGCATCCAGGCAAGTTTGTTAGGGACCTGATGAAACCGAGTCATCTGCAATTAGTTGGAAAAAGGCATTGCAGATTTGCTATCACACTTACTTTTGAAGCGGAAGACAGCGTGTAAGATGTTTGAGTACCCGGCAGCATCATGCCGCGAGGGGGTCCAGGCCACACTGAGAGGTTGTGTGTGTTCTAGCTGAGAGTCCCAGTCAAGGTCCCCCGCTCCAGCCAGCTCCAGCCACCATGTGTGCATGAAGATAGATGCCCCACGTGACCCATATGAGACACCCAAGAATTCAAAGAGGAGTCACTGCTCTTGCCATGAGTAGGTAACTAATAAGAAATCGATAAATAAAGGAGAAAATGTACTAAATTGTTTTCATTCCTTTAAATCCAGCCACTTATTATGTTTCACTCCACTGCATGTAAACTGATTATGTCTATTGAAGGTTATTAGATGATTTAATAATTGGACATTTTTATTTAAAAGGCAAGCATGAAGGACTGTGTTAATGGTTTTAATCTACACACAGGGGGGACATGACATATTCTAAAATATGGCAGCATTGTCCACTGCATGAAACCTTAGAAAATCATAACGTGTAAAAAGAATTCGTCAGATTTGGGGAGGTTTTCTTTCTTTCTTTTTTTTTCAAATCCAATCCGTATCAGTAATGGAAAAGTTCACAGCAATAAAAGGCAATCAAAACAAACGGTAGGTAACCAACCTGAGATCTTGCGAGACCAGTAATAAGACAGCAGAACAGCAGTTATGAAGCCGAGGCCACCACACAGCGCCCCGAGAACTCTGGCTGTGACGTGGTCTCTTCGGTAGCCACCGGTCCCTGAGGGAAGACACCAGTGCGTCAGCCTTAGAGGGTCAAGGCTTGGGTCCTGGAATCCTGGTCTAATACTCTGCAGGAATGGTTAATATAAGTTCACACGTTATCTAATTATAATGTGTACTTTCCAGGTTGGTGTGGAGAGAAGAGAAGCAGCCAGGCACTGAGATCACCTTCTCCAACCTCCCCCACACAGCAGGCATCACCTGGACCTCCACCCACCTTCCAAAACCCCACTATGGTACCAGTGAAGACTGCTGGGGCAGAGCCATTAATCATAATGCTCCTGTATCCAGGGACCATCAACCCACCTGTGACGCTGAGTGTCACCGCCTCGCTGCGCTGGGCCCCCAGGCCATTGTCAGCCTCACAGGAGTAGTTTCCAGAACGTTCTGGGGTCAGAGAGAGGTTGAAGGACACTCCTCCTCCAGAGGGGGCCGAGCTGTTCCCCAGGGAGACATCCTCGTGATAAAACCGGTACTGGATCGGGGGAGAGCCCCTCTGGGCCTCGCAGCGAAGCTCCACCACGTCCCCCACTGCCATGGCCTGGGCCCTTGGCTCCCTGAGGGTGAGGACGGGGCAGGACACTGGGACTGAGGGAGACAGGGACCAGCGGAGAGGGCTTGTGAGGCCACAGTAGACACCCAGACCCCAGACTAGGACCTCAGCGAAGGGCCTGGCCCCTTGGTCATTGTGTGTCTCTAAGATTCTCAATAATGTCTTTAGAAATTTGGGGGAATATCAAGGCTGGGCTACTGTCTAAAGACATGGTCATTCGTCATTCTCAGCCTGTGTTTTCCTAATGCCAGTCCAGCCCCCGTTATTGTCCCTTCCCTGGAAAGAAGGATGTCCGCGGTCTAACTTGCGGGGGCGACCCACACTCCAGTTGCCACTGGTTCTCCACAGCAGTGACTCACTTCTCACACGGATACTCAGCAGCTTGCTCTGGATGGGGTCGTGGCCATTGTCAGCTCTGCAGTAATAGCAGCCGGCGTCACCCTCCTGCACGGCTGGGACCTCCAGCTCCGCAGACAGGGAACGCTGGGTCTTCCTTCCCACACTGGTTCCCGTGTCCTCTCTGTGCCAGGAGAATGTGATGTTTCCTGTGCCTTCGGCCACCGAGCAGAGGAGGATCAGGTCCCCTCCTTCGATCACCGGGTCCCTGGGGGCCCACATCTCTAAGCTTACGTTAGAGACGGGCACTCCTAGACGGATGGAAGACGACAGGTGAGAAGCTGACGTCGGAGGGCTCTGTGACCAGGCCGTGACTGGCTTCACTCTAATGCTTGAAGTGGGAATACAGGTAGGGCTCATGTAATCCATTATAAGGACACTAAGGTAGGGAATCCGCGGTGATTACTCTTGAAGAATGTGGATGCAGATACTGCATGTCCCAACCCCCTTCCTGTCTAATTTCATGGGATCACTAAAGAATGTGTGATGGGTCATCTGCTCCATGGACAGGAAAACATTTCTGGGGGGAGGGGTCGCTGTCAGAGTGGTGCGTTCTGCACTGAGTGAAGGGGTCCCTGGTAGCATCAGTCCTACCTCAGAAAAGGCACTGTCCCCCCTAACAGTATCAATGACAATTCCTCCATTATTCCCAGTTTCAAGGGTCCACAAGAATTGCCACCCCTCCTCTGGCCGCTTGGTTCACTCAGATTTCTGCTTTCTCTGATGCTTCATTTATCCCCCGACACTGGAGCACCACCGTGCCTTCTAATAAAACCAACTTGTGTTGCAAGCCAGCATGTGGGGCCATCTGCAGAGCCACTGGGGAGCAGGTGCTTGCTGAGTAAAGTCCCAGCCCACTCCTAAACACCAAGGCACGAAGTGATCAGTGGAGATATGACTGATGGATGTGACTTTAATAAAGAAGAGAAAGATTTTAAGGAGTGTTTAGAAAAGAAGAAAAAGAGCCCAAAATGGAGTATTTGTCCCCCACTGACATCAAACCAAGACTTAATTACAGTTTCAGCCTATCCCTGGAATATGACCGTCTATAAGTCAATCTGAAATTTCCTGATCCACACTAAAGAGGTCATCTGCATGATAAAAAAAAACAAAAAAACTTTGAAGTTCCCTCCTCCCGCAAATGATGTCTTGGCCTGAAGAAATCCTCTTTTATTTTGCTAATAACCCCCTTCCCCGACCTCATGCCTATAAAAAACTTCCATTTCCTACAACTCCTCTGAGCATCTCTCTGCTTGCTAGCTAGGATCCTGCTGATTCATGAATGCTTAATAAAGTCGATTCCGTCTTCACATTTACTCCATTGCGTTCTGTTTTTTTAACAGGAGCTTTGTCCATTTGTTATTTTTATGAAACGCCCATTCTCTAGCTCACATCCCACTTTCCACAAGTACAGGAATTGCAAGAGAACCCAAAAGACGAGCAGCCGAAGTGAAGCTGCTGGACTCCTGTTTTCCCCACGCTCAGACCCAACGATACTTACTCTGCACGTGAATCTGGGATTGGAGGCTCTGTTTTCTGACCCTGGCAGTCACCATCTCTGCCTGGCACCAGTAGGACCCTGAGTCCTCCGTCCACATGGCGGGGACCCGGAGCTCTGGGGAGCTGCTCCAGCCAGACCCCAGGGCTCTGTCCTCTCTGAAGAAGCAAAATCGGAGCTGAGCATTTGACCTCTGTGGAGAAGGCTGGGTCTCACAGGTCAGGGTCACCGGGCTCCCCTCAGTGGGCCAGGAGGGGCTGACAGTGAACACAGGGCGTGGGAACAGCTCTAGAGAGAAGGATCACAAGAGCCCCGAGCAGTGAGATGGATGGTTCCTGCTCAAGAGCAACCCCAGCAAACAAGACATTCAGACCAGACTTGTCACCTATCACGACTCCCTCCTGCGGTCAAACCACAGGACTCTGGTTCCCATCTGGTGTGGGGGCAGGTGTTCCCTCCAGGGACCCACCCTGCTGTGCTCCAGTCTCGTCCAGCCGGGCTCCCACAGGAGGGAAAGTCTTACCTTGCACTTCAATCCTGATGCTTCTTGAAGCTTTTGACTTCAGAAAATACTTCAGAAAGTATTTTTCGGCAGTAGCAGAACAGTAATAGCTGCCACTGTCACTCAAAGCTGCATGTGGGATAGAAAAGCTAGAGACTTCGTTTGACAGCTGTAACTCTTTTCCATCCTTGTAATAGGCCATAGTCTGGATTTCCCACCAGTCCTTTTTCTTCTGGCACATCAGATCTATGCTGTCTCCTTCAAAGACAACAGAGGGGGCCTGGAGGGTCAGCCAGTCTGCAAGAGAGGGCGTCAGGGGACGGGATTTGCCATTTCTGCAGAAAGCCCAGATGCCTGACCGCTTCTTGTGCTCTTGGGCCAAGCAGCCCCATCCCCTCCAGGCAGGACGGAGGTTCCAACCCCCACCTTACCTACTCAGGGCTAGGTTCTCTCTTGTCCTGAGGGGTATCTGAGTCAGCATGGGCTGCTGTAACAAAGTACCATAATTTTCTCGGGGTTTATTTCTCAGGGTTCTGGAGGCTGAAAGTCTAAGATCAAGGTGCTGCACAGCCAGATTCTGGTGAGGCCACTCTTCCAGGCTGTAGATGGCTGACTTCTTGTGTGTCTTTACTTGCTAGCTCTCGGGCCTCGTTTTCTAAGGGCACTCATCCCATCATGAGGACCCCACCTCCATGACCTTATTACCTTCCAAGGGCCCCACCTCCAGATACCATCCTCCTGGGATTAGGGTTTCAACATAGGAGTTTGGAGGTGAGGACTCAAAACACTGAGTCAATGGCAGGGAATGTCAAAGTAAACATAATTTTTTACATGGATACAGGAGTGAAGTTCCTCCTGCTTAGCCCTCTCTATTGGTGATGTCACAAGGGGGGACCACTGTCCTCAGGGGGCACATCGCTTTCCCACCCCCTCTGCTTTGATCCAGCCTTTGAAGACACTATGCTGTGTTCTAAATTCACGTTCTTCGTCTTCTTCTTGCCTGGCCAGAGGAAACCGCCAAGGGGCCTGGGTATCTGGGGCATAGACTGGTTACTGGAATAAGATCCTCTATCTCAAACCTCAGAACTTTCCACCTGACTAGTTTCCAAACACTTCCCCACCCATCCCATGTGTAATTAGGTGGAAAGGAGCTTTCATTCAAGGTTTAGCTGACCATAGTGAATAAAAGTCATTGCCAAAAATAAATGTCTTCCCCTGGGACTGCCTGTCTCAGATTCCACCCTGTGACTTTGCTTATTCATGGTACCAGGCCCCTTCTGTGTCTGGGACATTTGCATTACCTTTCAGGGTTGCAGTTGAGGATTTTGACCTCGAGGTGAGGAACTAAGTTATATCTCAAACAAAAATCTCCCTGCCCCTGTTCAACGGTGGCATGACAGCCAGAATTTGGATGTGTAGCATAGGGAAGCAGAGGTCAGCCATATAAGGGGTGAAGTGGCCCATAAAATACCCCTGCAGAACCAGAACCAAAATGCAACAGGAAGCTTGTGAAATTTAGAATCATAATTTTTGGAAAACATGCTACTGACTCTTCCAGGTGGAGAACCAGATTTACCTGTTGGGCATCAGGCGAAAAATCTGGGTTATAAAAAATGAAATCAGGAGGGCAGAAAAGGTGGGTTGCAGAAACAATTAGCTTAATTTGAGGTTTTTGCCCTCCTTCACTGATGGAGACTGGATCCCCTGGGGACTTGGCTGTGGGACTTATAATCAAGCTGATTTTTAAACCACTAGCACAGACTTCATCCAGAAACTGGAAAAAATCCCAGGGGGAATGCTGTTGGGGTAGGGGGCAGACATCCTGCATCATGATTAGAGATGCCGCCGAAAAGGCACATGATGGGCAATCTCACAGGCTCGGGGCTGCGGCTGGATGACCACGTGAGCCTGTGAGTCCGTTGCTAAGGATCATTCAGGCACAGCGTGGATGCAAGGGACGAGTCCTGCTCCCGAACAGGCTCCTGGCATCCCTGTCCCATTCATGTCTCACCAAGAAAGGAGAGACAGGAGGGGTCTGTTCTCCCGGGACGGTGCCTTAGAGCCCCAAGCGCCCCTTCCGCTTGGCGGTTGGTGCTGGCAAGGTCCAGGAGCAATCCTCTATCTCTCTAGATTCAGTCCAGGCTCATGTACATACAGAATAAAATCCCGTTTTCTGAACTTCTTTGGTGAGCACAGCTTTAAGTCGAGAAGAGCAAGGTGAGGTTGGTTGTGGTCACACGCGCTAGGAAGGTAGCCCAGGTCTGAGGGCACGCCGAATTCAGCGATGCTGTGGAGACGGGGCGGGCGGACCCGGCCCGGGAGCCGCTGGGCGCCTGTTTGGGGAAGGCAAGTGCGCCTGCCCTGCCCCAGGCGCTGAGGGGATGCTCGCTGACTTGCGCGGGACAGCGGACAGCGTCCCCGCCGCCACCCAGAGCCAGAGCAGCCCGGCCGTCCCAACCACACGCACGCTCTGGGCCATGTTGCTCAGAGGGCGGCTGTTTTCAGCTGCGAGGACATTCAGCCAGACCTCACGGAGGAGCTATGGTCCCGGGGCCTGGAGAACCATCCTCCCCCGCAGGCTGGCTGTCCGGGCCGCACACCCTCTTCCAGACGCCACTCCCCGGCACCTGGGGCTCTACGGGCAGGGGACTCCGCCTGGGCAGGCCGTCCTCACGCAGCCAAGTGGCCGGAGGCGGGTTGGCCCAGGGGAGCCACAGCACTGGGACGTCTCCACGGCCTGTCCTCGTCCCTCTCTGCAGGACCTCATGGGAACCGGGCGACGGACAGACTAGACCCCGGCACAGTAAGGATGTAGATGACTCACCTGCCTCTTCACTGACAGGAGCTGTGAGGGGATCAAAAACCGGAGGTTAGCCCAGAGCATTTGCCCTTACAGTTTGGACATTTCTATTACTCTGCTAAACTGACCCCGAACTCCCCATCACCCCCTTTTCTGTTCCCCTGCTCCATTATCACCAACAATGCAATCTCCCTCAAGCACCAGCTGGCCCCCACTCATGTTACAATCACAAGGCAGGTGCAAACCCCTCCCTTGACCAGAGGGAGCACCCAGGGCACGTCCCACGGATGGACGCCAGATGTTCAGTGATTCTCTCATTTCCTCGCCCTTCCCCTCTCCCCACCAACCTCCTGCACACCCAATGAGTCCACTACACGATATCCCACATCACCAAGAGTTCATCAGGAAACACCCAATCAGAGTTTGTAGTGTAAACCCTGACAGCTGGGGTTTTCTCTCGGCCCGACTTTGTGCCTGACTTAAGCTTTGATGCGGAGGCATCCACAGAAGACTGTGATCATTTGTTTTAATTCACCAGCAAAGAGTGAGCCTGTGAAACTGTGGGCCCCCAGCCTCCAGCCCAATAAGAGCAGAACCCCAGGGGCGCCTGGGTGGCTCAGTCGTTAAGCGTCTGCCTTCGGCTCAGGTCATGATCCCAGAGTCCTGGGCTTGAGCCCTGCATTGGGCTTCCTGCTCTGTAGGAGGCCTGCTTCTCCCTCTCCCACTCTCCCTGCTCCTGTTCCTGCTCTCGCTCTCTCTCTCTGTCAAATAAATAAATAAAATCTTAAAAAAAAAAAAAAAAAGAACCGAACCCCAGACCCATGCTGTCTCTCTCCCCGCGACCTCGCTGTGTGATCCCAGGGGTGCTGTGTAGTTTCCAGGCTCTGTGAGTAATAAACATTTAGCTTTCCAAAGTTTCCTGACCGTTATTACTGAAGGGCATCTTGCAGTCATGATAAGACCCATGAAGGCTGGTCCAGCCACAACCTTGCTTATTGATGAGCTGAGACCAGCACACATAATTTTGAAAGCCAAACCCATCTTGAAAGGATTTCTTTTCTCTGGCCATATTTTATGTGAGAGTCTTTTTACTTATTAACAAATGTTGGTTTAATGTCTCCTGAAAGGAGAGAAAGGAATCTCGTTTCCTTATAGCAGCTCTCCTGTCCTGTCCTCCTCAACAGAAGAGCCTGAGCAAAGGGTGTCCATGCATCTCCAAACCCCATCTTGGAGATAACTGTCTAAATAGTTCTCACGGAGAAGTAGTAAATGTTGAAATTATAAAAACTGTATTTATGAGAATATACTACTCTATGAATTATCTGAGATATCAAAGCAGGAACTCATAACCCAGGAACGGTAAAGTAGCCGACCTTGAACATTAAGGACAAGGATGCGTTGCAGTGTGACTTGCCCAGAGCCCACTGCTGTGCATCAGACTGCTCTCTGGGCTTGAAGCAGAGACCCGAGCATTCCTATTGGTCCCCGGGTTCTGATAAACCCTCAGGGCTTTCAGGAGCTGGAGACCTCATCTGCTGCCACCTCAGTCCTAACTCAAGTTATTGGACTCACCAAAGATGACCAGAAATGACCACAGCAGCATGAGGACCTGGTTCAGCTATCCAAGAAGAGATGAAGAGATGTTCCCTCGGCCACCAGCTGGGGTCTGTGTGCAGGGAATGGAAACTGCTTTTCAAACTAAGTTTTGTACAATTAGCAAAAAAAAAAAAAAAAAGGAAGTGGAAGGGCTTGTCAAGTCTGGCCACTGTCTTCTTTCCTATAGACGCTATGAGAATGAAGATGGTCCTCTAGGTGCCAAATAAACTCCTTCTCTTGACAATGATGACAGTTAACACTTAACACACAGCTGTTCATGAGTTGGACACAGTTCTAAGTGCCTTATGCTCACAGGGTTATTTAATGCCCTGAGCAAGCTTCTGGAGTCTGTACGATCCCCTTTACACAGTTGGGGAGACAGGCAGCAGGGAAGGCAAGTAATGGACCGAGATCAGCACCGTCACTTTCCAGTAGTGACAGCTAGGAGTTAAACTCAGGCAACCGCATTCCACAGTCTGGTTCACAAATGCTGTCAGATCTTACCGTGATCTATAATGCTTCTCAGTGTTCCTTTGGATAGCAGGACCACCACTCAGGGTTCCTGGGTGATGTTTTCTTCAGTCCATATCTAGCCTTCTAGACCAGGATGTTGCTAAGATTCAAAACACCGGCTCTGTACCATTGAAAACATTGTCCTCTTCCGTATTTCTAATCCACGTTGCTTTTAGGACGGCATGCTGCTCCCAAGGCAGCCACACCCTCCAGAGCACGCATCCCCAAATTCTGTTATCACTCCCTTCCCGATTAGATGTGGTCCCCGTAAGTGTTGTATGTAACAGTCCACTCAGGGGCAGGCTGAACAGACAGATACCTATTGCCTACGTGGACCTTATGTAGCATGAAATTTTAAATCATAAAATCATAGGTATTTGTAACCTGGGAACTGACTGATAGTGAATTGAATCATAGACTCAATGTCATCTGTTCCGGCGAATACTTAACATTGTCACTCACCATAAACATAGCTTTCCTTTGGGAAATGCTGATGTATGTGCGTGATGTCATACTTCGTATCATCAAAGCCTCGCTTAGAGTAGTGTAAAAAGAAAGTGCTAAAAACACCCAAAAAAGCAGGTTAAAAATAAATTGTATGTCCAACTGTGTACTATCAAGCAGCCATTAAAATGATTCTGTAGAATATTCAATAGCAATAAAAGCTGTTCACGATATACCGTTAAGGCAAAGGAGGCTGCTGGATGCAATTACCTGCTGCACACCATCCTCCCCAATTGCCAATTAAAAAAAAAAGTGTGGGACAATAAACACCAACACGTTAGTGCGATTATATCTAATGTAATTAAAGGTGGTTTTTATTTTCCTCGTTTTGCTTATCAGTGTGTTCTAGTATTCTTACAATAAACACATTTATTTATATATTTCTAAAAGATTCATAAAAAACAAGACCTGGCTTTTTTTAGCCCCTATCACCTCAAGTGTACCAAGCGAGGCTACTCCACCTTTCTGCATGGGCACATGGTTTATTTGTGTTTGGAAGAGGGTGAGTGTTTCTCTCCCTGGGACCAGAGCTGCTCACTGAGCTTCTTGTCAAGCCCTTGCCTGTGGAAAGGCTTCTAGGTGGCCTGTGGCTCCTCCTCGTCCTGCCCAGTCACGACGGCACAGGATTCTGACGGAGGACAGTGAATTGAGGAAGAAAATACAGAAAAAGGCAGAAGCAAAATGTGGAGAAGGAGCTGGTGGTAGGTATTGGTTTTTCATAGACATCTGAGCAGATTTTTCAAAATATTTGTGGTTTCATTCTGTCCTGTATGGCCATGTGGCTCTTGAGTTGAGAATTAGCTTTTTCCCGTGGCATTATCAAATGGTAGGGAGTGTGGCTTATGTGAAAGTGAGTGATGCAGGGGAAGAGAAATGAGTGGCCACAGTGGGGTAGGTGGGCCACTGGGGTGGCAACGAGTCCTTAAGGGGACTGGCCTGCTCCATCTGGATGCTGCTCACACCTGACAGGTGGCAGACATTTATTTACATGTGGACGGACGCAACTTGAAGGCCCACCTAAACTCAGATGCAAAGTAGGGCCCGCAGCCAGAGATGAGGAGCTCAGCAGTTCATTAGAGGACAAAGTAACTTCATGTTCAGGTTACAGTGGTGGAAGTGAAACTGCAGGGTGGGGTGCACTGGCCAAAGTGAGAAATACAAACACTCCTTATGCCGGGATATTTGGCCACCAGCAAGATGGAGTCACAGGTGCCAGAGAGAAGCAGAGTCACCTATAGACAGAAGCCTCTGGGACCAACCAGGTAGACCCTTGACTTGGAGATTCTGCAAGTGGCAGCCCACACAAGAGTACTCTGTCAGATGCGGGGCAACAGTGTCCCTGTCAACTTTGTTCGGTGTCTTCCGGGGGACACAAGATGCAATGCCAAGGTCAGGATTGAGACAGAGACAAAGTCTTCATGAACTACAACTCACAACAAAATAAACACCATCTCCCGTTTGAGAGGAAGTTGATTACCAGGATAGTCACAATAAGAAAATGAGGCTGATTAACTTCAGAGATCTCTGGATGTATTTGGTTGAATTTGGGGCTGCAAGGCTGCGACGACAGAATTAAATGTCCTAATGTATGCAATCACCTCCCGCAGGAATTGCGACATTCATGGCTGTGGACATGGTCCCAAGTCACCGCCATCATCCTCATGTGGGAGCAGTTACAGTAGTAATTTCAATTGTTACTATAATCATCTTGAACAACATGATATGTCTTGGCTGAGTGGGGCTTGACCTAGAAATTTCATGTCTAGGGTAAGAGGTACATTCTTTTGGAAGTGCTAATGTTTGTTGGAGCAGAGCTGGCTGGTGGGAATCTCGATGTTGTGTCTGTAGTCACTCTCCAAGTGTTATTTAGGCAGACCAAGACCTTCTGCCCAGAAGACTCTCTACAATTTAATTCATCAATTCCTAGAATTCTGATGGCCTCTCCATAGTCCAGACAGCATGGCAGGGAATTTGGACCAAGAATGCCTGGAAACTTTTGTCCATTTCCTCCCCGGCAGATGTGAAGATGAAGAAGCTCCAGAGACCCAGTTTCTCTGAGAATTATCCATATATCTACTCCAGGAAATCTGAGAAGGACAGGAGTAAGTTTAGTTTCAGGTAATGATTGTTTTAGGAGACTGGAGTTTTACAGATCTCAAATTTTTCTTCTTCATGAGGAAGATCATTTTCTTCAGTGTCAGTAGAAATTATTATTAACCCCTTTTGAAGAAGGTGTTACCATTCCCGTGGTGGGGGATAGAGGTGAGCCCAGTCTTGAAGTCTGAGGCGGGGAGGGGCACAGGGAGACTTAGTGAGGCTCTGGGTAGATATCTGAGCAGCATCTGCAATAGGGAGCAGACCTCCCTCGGTCTGTGAAAATACCTCCTGCCAAGTGGCCTGGCTTCCCTGGGGGTGATAGGCATGGTGGGGCCTCCCCCGGGATCAAAGACAATTCAATGTGAAGCTTTCTATTTTCTGTTCTAATTATATATGTGTGAGCTGGGTGGAGGGGACCCTTGGGGCATTGAGAACACTGACCCTTAGCAGAGCCACCCAAAGCAGCTTCCTTGGGTATCTTTCCAGCAGTAGAATATCGGCTGTTGGTGGTAGAAGACCAAGAACCAAGATCCAGATTGTACTTCTGGTTTTTGGTTTTGATTTCCCTTCAAGGGATTTGCTCATTCTTCTAACCTACTCTGCTAACGACTGCTTCCTAGTTCAGGAGGTGGTAATTCACCAGTCAGAGGAAGGGTGCATTCATTCACTCAGGGATGGATAAATATTACATAATTTTTTTTTTTAAGATTTTATTTATTTGCGAGAGAGACAATGAGAGACAGAGAGCATGAGAGGGAGGAGCGTCAGAGGGAGAAGCAGACTCCCTGCCGAGCAGGGAGCCCGATGCGGGACTCGATCCCGGGACTCCAGGATCATGACCTGAGCTGAAGGCAGTCGCTTAACCAACTGAGCCACCCAGGCGCCCCATAATTTTTTAAATGCATAATTAAACAGGTAAAAAAGAAGGGAAATTTCCTCCATTACAGATTAAAAAAAAAGGAAGTGAAAACAGTGTGTTACACATGTAAATTGACATTACTGGTGCCCTGGGGAGAAAATATTACACTAGATAATTTTTATGAGCTTAGCATTTAGTCCATCTGGAACTTGGAGGCAAAACCCTGGGTCTGCAAAAGGTGGAAGGTTGAAACCAAAACACATGAAATCTGGATCATCAAAAGACTTTCCTTTTAATAAAAGAGTGGCTTGGTGGGGAAAAACATTCACCTACCAGCACAGAAATGACAACTAACCTTGTCTTTCTATGAGCTCTGGGGGAAATAGAGAGTTTCCCTTGAGATACCAGAACTCCAGGACTGTGCCACTCCCATGCGTGGGCTCCGGGAAACCCCAGATAAGGAATTGTCATAAAAAGTGGTCCTGGGCCAGTGATGCCCCCAGGACTTAGAAGGAGCAGGTACAAAATGGCTTTTGAGGGACACAGTCAGAAGCACAGATCACATGAAACTCACCATGCACAGGATGGGTCTCCATCAATAGTCAAAAAACCCAGCAAATCATGATGAACAAGATTCAAAATATGTGAGAAATGCAGGCTTAAATACCTAAAACTTCAGGCAGAAGAACTACGTAAGAATTACAATAAATTAAATGTATTTAAACTATTTTAAGGTTGTTAAAATAATAAAAGGAAGTATTATACCCGTAACAGTAGAATGCTATAAATAACAAAAAGGGAAATTTGAAAAGAAATAATAATAATACTTTTTGAGCATTTAATGTGAGCCATGTACACCTTGGAGCATTTTATTTTTTTTCAGATGTTCTAAATTTTTTTAAATTTTATTTACATTCAATTAATTAGCATATAGTGTATTATTAGTTTCAGAGGTAGCGTTCAGTGATTCATCAGTTGACCTTGAAACATTTGAAAGAAATGATTTTACATAATGAACAAGACAGCATACATAATATAGTAGATACAATTTTTATCCCAGTTTTAAGCATGAAGAAATACACAGAGGTTAACCAATTTGATCAAAACTGCAGATCTAGTAAATGGTGGAAAACACGTGTAAATCCAGAAAAAAGTTTCAGCTTCTGGTCGCCTGGGGCTCCTACTTCATTCCTGGAGTCCCCATGAGGTCCAAATATTTCACAGTGGCAGATAAAATACAAAATATAAAAATCTACAATTGTCCTAAGAAAGAAAAAGGTAAACAGTCCTATGGGCCAGAAACAGAAACGCAAGGGAGAAATGCAGCTGAGGAGATGAGAGCCAGTGAGGGTGCTGGAGGAAGACCATCACGGCACAGGCAAGAGAGGGTACAGAGCTCCTGAGCTGGGACGCCCAGGGTGTGCGGGAAGAACACTGGGGACAATGAGGTTGGAGCCCATCCAGAGATGGGAAAAGTCATCCTCGACAGAAGTTCGAACAGTATTAGTGCTAAGCAGAACTATTAAAACAGGGAGTTTTTATTTGGATGAGATAAGGTAGCATGGGAAATAAAAGAAAAAAGAACAGACTACTGAATAAATAATAGTAGATAATTTATATTTATTTGAAAAAAATACTTCAATCTCTATCTCACATTCTTTATTTCAAAAAGTAAAGTCATAATATAAATATAATATAAAACTCCAAAACAGGAGAAGTCAGATTCTTACCTTGCACCAAACATACATATAATATCCTGAGTGAATATATATCAAAATTATGAAAGCATTATAAGAACATGTAAGAACATTTTTAGAACATAATCACATGGAAGGGGATGTGAGGGATGTTTCTGGAAAGATGGAGAAATTTTATATCCTGACAAGAGTTTGGGTTACTTGGGTGTGTGTATTTATCAGACTGATGGAACTGAGCACCTAAATTGTGTGCACCTCACTGTACATAAATTATAAATAGTTCCTACAAAAGCTGTAAGAAGAAGGCAAATGAACACTGAGAAAACGCGCAAAGGGCCAGCACAGGAAACTGGGAAGAACTACAAATGTACAGTCAATTTATGGGAAAAATGCTCAACTGCTTTAGTCATTGTAAAATTTTTAATTGAAATAACAATGATACTTTTCTCTCACAGACTGATTCTCTCGTGTGTTGTTGGTGAATGTGTTCACTGATACAGCAGAGCAGTTTGAGAGTATTTAACAAAAATATAAAATGTGCACAACCTGAAATGCCCTAGTCCCTGATTTACAAATTTATCCTTCAGATGGATTAGCAGGAACACAGAAATACGTTTGTGCAAGAACATTTATTTTAGTATTGTTTTTGTAATATAAAGTTTTTGGAAACCACCTAATGTCCATCAGCAATTGAAAAGATTAAAATATATTACGATAGTATTTCATTAACAATGTTGTTTTTAAACAATGGATACCACTCGTGGTGTTAGCTACAGGGAAGGCTCTAACATTTTACATTATATATTTCTAAATTGTTTTAATTTGTAAGAGTTGGTGTATAATTGTTTTAAATTAAAACATAGACTCCAAATTGTATTGCCACATTTTTTAAAGTTCATGCATAAAAGAAGAAAAATTATATTCGTAAAGCTTCTAGAGGTGCAACAAATACAGAACTTTGGGTGTGGTGAAACTTACAAAGATTGTATCTCGTTACAAATATGGGGGCATCTAGATTAGTTTGTGCATACAAAATATGTCACTAAGATTGAATGTACCTACAGTAACTTTACAAAACTTTGTTTGAATTCTAATTTGGGAGCAGTGACCCCAAATGCACAGAGTCACATATTTTATGCAGAAACAGGATGAGTCATGTAAGTGTCGGGGCTGGAGTTCTGTTCTGGAGTTCAGTGCCGAGCTTGTCTGCACTTGGACAAGAGGATGGGCACCCATCTCTGTGCGCAGCTGCCCCGCAGAATCGCTAACCTCGTGTCCATGCACTCTGAGTGAGCTTCACTGTCCCTCCACCCCAAGGTCACCCACCCTGTTTCCTCTTAGAGAAAGAAGCTAGAGCACAATTTGACCTGTGCCTAAAACAACCAGTAGGAGTCGGGTCCCACCCCTGCATTCATTGTGGTTCTTTGGGTGGTTTCTTCAGGGCTAGAACCACCTCTGTTTCACGGTAGTTGCAGGAATAGTCTCTGGGGGAAGCACCTGGATGAGAAGTCCTGGAAAGCAGACTACCTCAGGATCTCTGAAGAACATACTGGTTCTGAGGCTTGGGGTCATGGATGGTTTCCAAAGAGCAGAATCTTCCAGAATTTTACATAGCGTCTTCATAGTCCACATCTGCAACGCTTGCCTTCTTCAGCCTAAAATAGATGGCTGAGGCATCCTAAAAGTAAAGGCACATGGATAGGACCAGAGCAGGGAAGACATGTGGAACATGCCTCCCCCTGGTTCTCTTCCCCAACCAGCCTGGATGCGTCCTATCGCGGCACACCATGAAGCACAGAAGGTGGAGCCTCTTGGAAGACTGACCCTAGGTGAGCATTTTCAAAGGACCTGTGTCCTTCTGGTGGGCTGCATAGGTGCTCCTGATGAGCCGTAAGCTTATCCAAATGTGCAAACTCCCATTCTAATGGGCCACTGTTAGGCAGTTCCATGAGCTGTTGTTTTTTTAAGGATGTCAGGATTTTGTACTCATAAACTACATTTAGCATGTCACTGGAGTTTACCAAGGACAAAAATTCTGTCCTGAGACCTCTGGCTACCCCCACCACACTAGACAAACTTACAAAGCACCTACTGTCCTTGTACACATGTGGAGTTAGAATTCCTGTAATTTTCTGAAAGTATTTTTGTATTACCAGTGATATCTTGAATTGTTCAAGGTTTATAAATTACTGAGTTGACACAAATCACTATTAGTTTAGTTTTGTTCAATATTAATTGAGTTTTCCATGGATTGTGTGGTTAACCTCACAACACAAAGTGGTGTGTGTGTGGTTCAACAGTATTTCAGGGTAAAGATTTTCAAGGAATAGAATTTTTAGACTAGCCATGTGCTACAGTGTATCTACAAATCATCCATGCGTCTGTTGCTAAAGGAAACGTCTGTGCAAGTCTCCAAAATTCCCTTGCACCGTGAGGCTTTACTATGACCAAATGTTTTTCCCACTGTGTGGGGGATAAGGGGAGAGATGGACCATTGGAAACTTTTGCTTTTCCTAAGTTGCCATAGTTTTAAAAGTTTGAGAACCAGTCCCTAGAAGAAAGAAAGAAGAGCAGGGATGAAAGTCCATTAGGGCTTCTAACTCACCTGGTCCGTGGTATGTGTCCTCTGGGGTTCTACTGTGGAATAAAAGGTGTGTGCTGTAAGATTTCACTTATATTTAAAGTCCTTCACTAAAGTCGTGCTAATAAAGGCTTCTTCTCCTCCTACCTACTTTCCGTGTATTGATTTCCATCAATATTTTTAGTCTTGCTTTTCTGCTTATCACAATCACGATTTCCTTACTGTACAGAGGACGATGGGCAGCCTAGAGGTGGACAGGTAAGTAGATCCCTTTGGGCATTTAAACTCTTCGCATTTCTGGACCCACAAGGTATGAATGGGACAACAGCAGCAAGTGGGGCCACTCAAGGAGGGCAGGTGGACACCGCCACCCCAATCTGCCATCTGACCGGGGGCACTGAGCTAGCACCAGCACTCGGGGCTGCTCCCAGACCCAAGGCCAGTGCTCAGGGAGGTAGGGAAAAGCCCACAGCCAGCTCAAGGCAGAGCAGCAGTGCTGAAGAACACTTCCATATGCCATTTGCGGCACTGAGTATCCTCTTGGTTCCATGAAAGAAAAAAGTCAGAGATACATTCACTCCCTCATTTCTCACCTGCTGCTTGCAGCTCCTGTTGCGTACGATACACCAAAGAGTAGACCTCTTCCCCGCTTACGACGTTCACTGAAAGAGAAGAAAGGAGGCCTGGTGACACCATCTTTTCTTCCTGCCAATTACCTCACTCCATGCCTACCACTTATCACCACGAAGACAGACATGCCATTTGTCCATGGAGGTGGCTGGGGCACAGCAGGCACAGGGTGGGCTAGCAGACATCAACCCACTGCCCCTTCCCCGGCTCCCTCCGGCTGCTTGGGCCAGGTCATTTGGGAAACCTCACCATTTTCGTATACAGACTGTTCCTGCAGTGGGGCAGCTGAGTTGATGTAGTTGGACACCTGTGCCATGGGGCTGGGAGGGCTCCTGCAGACACAGATAGTGGAATAGCATCCCAGATGCCCCAGACATCACTGTCCAGGGTTGTGAGCAAGACATTGAAGGAGAGAATCCTGTTAGCAAGCGTCCTGAGCAGAATACTGACTTCTGGGGAGATCCTCAGTGAGCTCCACTGTGTGGAACAAACTCTGTACGTGGGCTGAGCAAGGCACAGCAGAGCAGCTGTGGAGTGCACAGCCCATGAGCGCAGGTCCTTACCTGATGGGCTCAGTGTGGTGTTGCCCACACCTAGAATAGTGCCCCTCCCATTCAGGTGCTCAGTGAATACTGAGTGAAGAGTATTGATTCCCCTCAATAGAGAACAGGTTACCAGGCAGAACAAGCAGCTTGAAGAAGGGAGAGAAGAACGTGAACTTGCACATACATGTACCCCTGGAAGACCACTACTCCAATTTGGGAAAATAATCTGATTTTTGTTGGCATAAACAACAACACAGTATAAAAATATGTCGACTAAACATTGATGTCCCCAGATGCAAGTGTTTTAAAAATCTTTTCCTCCTCTAAACTAAAGAACTTCACCAGCAAGTTTTCGGGATGGTTATCACTCTCTAGCCGGAATGACAGAAATGTGCATGTATCTTAACGCCTCTGAGATACTTTCAGGATCTCAGAATCCTGTTTTCCTGCCTCATCAGAATGACTCACAGACCCTCAGATATTGATTAATTGATTGAATGAATCAGTTCATTGGTGAATGTGTGAAATGGGTCAGTTTAGTGAGGGAGGTGAATTAGGAAGAATGATGGAAGAAGGATTTGAATTAATCAGTTAATGCATAAATGAAGAGGAATAGCAAACTGACACTGTTATTAGCGGGAGAACTCCGGAGTAGAAGTTGGGATAATACATATACAACAAGCACATGAGAGAGGACAACTTAAAACTGTGCAGATGGGTTTTTCTGCATTATCAAGTGCACACAGAGCAGAGCCTCACCTGCATGGGTCCCTGGCCGGACGTCTTCCTAGAAGTCAAGCAGATGAGCAAACACGTCAAAGGGGGAATCTCTTCTTCAGTTTTCTTGTGCGGGGACTGCTCCTCAGGCCTGCCACAGCATGCCAGAGGGCATCCTGGCCATCACTTACTCAGATCCTTCACTTTGCAGGTGAAGAGACTCAATGCGGAGTAGTTAGTGAGCTTCCCAGACAGTTCATCCCAGAGTGAGGCCCTGAGCCCCAGCCTCTGAACCTGAACACCTATTGTAGTTTTTGCTTTGGGTTCTGACAACACACTACCTACTTTTGTCATGACAAGACCCCCCAGAAGCAGGCACTTTTCTTTCTTTCTTTTTTTTTTTTTTAAAGATTTTCCATTTATTTATTTGAGACAGAGAGAATGAGATACAGAGAGCATGAGAGGGAGGAGGGTCAGAGGGAGAAGCAGACTCCCTGCCGAGCAGGGAGCCTGATGCGGGACTTGATCCCGGGACTCCAGGATCATGACCTGAGCCGAAGGCAGTCGCTTAATCAACTGAGCTACCCAGGCGCCCCAGAAGCAGGCACTTTACAGCTAGGGTGAGGTGCCCCAAGATGCAGGACAAGCTTGGAGTTTAAATGAGAATCTCGCATTGTCTCCATCTTGCTCAGTGGAGAACAGGAGTCCAAGATTAATTGCACCAATAAATATGAAATTACCAACTGTGAGCCAGGGTGAAGCTAAATAACAGGGCTCGGAGGAAGAATAAACTGAGAGAATTGCAGGCTGTGTGGCTGGGTGAAACCTCTGGGGGAAAAGGACATTTAAGCTGAAAAGCAGGAGAGATCCTGTGGTGAGCAGATGTGAGGATGCATGGACGAGCATTTCAGAAAGTGGGAAGAGCATGTGATGGTGCTCTGGGGGGATGAGAATGGAGGCACTGACTTTAACTTGGGGTGGTCGGCAGAGCTGGAATTGCTAACTGGGTTATTCTTCCAGTAGCTGACTAGTTATTTTAAATAGAGTCAGAGCTTTGGGTGAAAATTCGATCCCAGAAGCACCAGACATCAGCCGAACCTTGACACAAGGTGTGGGGGACTTGACACAGACACTGCACTCTGGTAAGTATGGGTGCTGCTCCCATGCTGGGGGTCAGGAGCAGATCTGCAGGCTGCGTGGCTGGCAGGACATATCCGTCCCTCACAGCGCTCCCGTCCCCAGCCCCGCCTATTTCTGTAAAAACAAAGGTCACAGTAACAAAATACCAGAATCTGTAAATACTAACCTATTCTTTTCTTGAGCCAACAGCAGACCAATAGGGCAATAATGGTGGGACCAAGGGTGCCAAGCAGCCCTTCAAGGATTCCTGAGACGAGAAGTTTCTTCCTGTCCTCCGTAGGCACTGAGGGGAGAGGTCTGCACGTGAGCCACCCTGCAGGAGGGCTGGCCTTTGGAGAGCAGACGTCTCAGGTGTGGGCCGAGGCCAAGGTCTGCTCTTCCTGGGCGAGGGGGGCGGAGGTTGCGGGACTGACTTATGTGACTTGGAGCTCATCACCCTGATGGCAGGAGAGAGGCACCAGCCTTCATGTCCTCTATGCCCCTCAGACACACCTCCTAGACAGCCCCATGTTCAGACGCTCCATCGTGGAAGCACAGCACCAGAGATACTGTGGGGTCAGTAAAACTCTCCCAGGATGCTGGAAAGGGACTTTGACAAAGACAATTCAATAGCCTGAGCTGTACCTGTGACGCTGAGTGGCACCGCCTCGCTGCGCTGGGGCCCCAGGCCGTTGTCGGCTTCACAGGAGTAGTTTCCAGAACGTTCTGGGGTCAGAGAGAGGTTGAAGGACGCTCCTCCTCCAGAGGGGGCCGAGCTGCTCCCCAGGGTGACATCCTCGTGATAAAACCGGTACTGGATCGGAGGAGAGCCGCTCTGGGCCTCGCAGCGAAGCTCCACCACGTCCCCCACCACGGCCCGGGTCCCGGGCACCCTGACAGTGAGGACGGGGCGGGATGCTGGGACTGAGGGAGACAGGGAGTCGTCAGAGAGTGTACCGGACCGTCACAGACTCGTAATCCCTGCCCACAGAGGCTCAGCCCCATTGAACTTCCCCGGGTTGCCCCAGGGAACACGGAGCCCAGCGAGTGGGGGTGCTGGTGGGACAGAGGTCACGGAACTTACTTCTGACGGTGACGCTCACCAGCTCGCTGATGCTGGGGCCATAGCCGTTGTCGGCCGCGCAGTAGTATTTCTCTGTGTCACTGTCTGTCACCGCCGGGATCTCAAGCTTCGCGGCCAATGAGCGCTGGGTCTTTGTTTCCAGGTTCAAACCCAGGGCCCCTTTGTACCAGGAGAAGGTGATGTCTCCTGTGCCCTGGGTGGCCAAACAGACGAGAACCAGCTTCTCTCCCTTCTGCACTTGTCCCCCTGGAGGCTGTGTCTCCAAGCTCACATTCCAGACGGGGACTCCTACACAAACACAAGGTGACACATGGGGCGTGACCATCCTGAAAGCAAAGGCCTTGGGTAAAGTCAATAATTCATGCAGTTTAGTGGTGGCGGGTGGTGGTGTTCTGAGGGCGGTTGCTGCTGACTGGGGTGGGCCTCGGCCAGGTGGGCGTGGTGGGGTGCGAAGGGCCGGCCAGGCGGGCGTGGTGGGGTGCGAAGGGCCGGCCAGGCGGGCGTGGTGGGGCGCGAAGGGCCGGCCAGGCGGGCGTGGTGGGGCGAGAAGGGCCGGCCAGGCGGGTGTGGTGGGGTGCGAAGGGCCGGCCAGGTGGGTGTGGTGGGGTGAGGAAGGCCACACAGTTACCAAGGTGGATGCAGCACCCCTCCATCCCGGGGATAGTGGGGATCCCAGGACCTTGGGCTCTCAAACCCGCACTCTGCAAGGCACGGTGCTGTGGTGGCCCCAGAACAGATGGCAGATCAAGCTGTCGGGGCTTGAACGCTGGTCCCACGTCTTACTGTGGGTGCTTGATCCAATCACGTCACTTCTCTGAGACTCAGTTTCCCGTCCGTACAATGCAGGGGGGAACGTTAGTTATCTCCTACGGTTGGGACGGGCCCATGACATAATGCATGTGGGGCCTAGAGCGGGGCCTGCTGCCCAGCAGCTCTTTGTTCTGGTCCGGCCTCACCAGTGCAGAGTTTTGAGCAAGGGTGCGAAAGCCAACCTTCTGGGGGAATTCCACATCCTCTTCCTGGCACCACGGACGCATCGTTGTCTGAGAACGGGGGAGGACATTAGCGTGCCTACCCGGACGGGCAGTGACACGGTTCAGAGTCACGAAACGCCCCCTTCTCTTCCTCTCTCTCAAAACCAAGCCCCAGCTGCCCCTTCCATAGCCCAAAGCCTGCCCTTACCGTGCGGATCTGATTTCTCCCTTCTCTGTAGCTCCCGTGACTCCCCACCACCGCCACACATGTCCCCCCGTGCTGCGGAGGGTGCCATCAGGGGCCGTGATTATGCAGCGACTTGCCCCCGCTCTCCAGCCCAGGGAGGACGCCGTGAGGGGTTCCTGAGTACTCTTCTGTGCACTTGAGTGCGATTAGCAAGAGTAAGGGCAGATCCCTTAAGGACTCTGAGAAGGAGAGAAGCTCAGGCACATCTCCACCAGTTCCTTTCCCCCCAAGGGAAGAGCAGCCTCGTGCCCCCGGCCCCATGTCGGTCCCCGGCGCAGGCCCCCGCACTCACCTTGCACCTGTATCTGAATCCTGGGGCTCCGAGCGACTCTGAGCTCTGAGGTCTTCGCTTCACACCAGTAGGACCCCGAGTCTTCCCTCCACACAGTGGGGAGCTGGAGCTCCGGGGAGCTGCTCCAGCCCTGCCACAGGGCCTGGCTGTCTCTGAAGAAACAGAACTGGGGCTGGGCGTCCGGCTTCCAAGAAGCGGCCTGCACCTCACAGGTCAGGGTCATTGAGCTCCCCTCCTTGGGCCGAGAGGGCCTGGCTGTCAGAAGCAGCGCTAGAGAGAAGGACAAAAGACACATTCCAGGGCAATGGGTTTCCGAGTTCCCACAGGAGGCACGTTGTGTTCTCAGCATTTGGCACAAGGCCAGTTGGGTGCAGAGACCACCCCCACCCCAGCACGGCCTGCCCTTATGCAGCGTCTCCTCCACCCACAGGGCAACCTCTGCCTTCAGCTTGGTTCCCACTCTTTGAAATTTCCATCCATGAACTAAAAACACCTTTTCTGGAGACCGGGCAGGGTACTGACGACTGTTATCAGAGACGGTGAAGCCTGACGTTTCAGGAACAGCAGGTGTGTTTATTCATTCTTGTCGTGAATCATGTTGGTTATCTTCTTCGGCTCCCTCCCCCGGGCATCCCAGAGCCACACTCTGTCTTTCAAGGACAGACTGTGACCCCGGACGATCTGCCAGTCGGGGAAAGATTAGAGGAATTCAATGCTTTCTTTACTGAGTCTCTCCTGCCCCTGTTACTGCTGCTCTGAGTGGAAGGACCCGGCGTGTGCTTGCCTGAAAATCCTGCATGCACACATCCAGCTCCCTTGCTCTGGGACTTTGTGCAAACCTCGTGCAAACCATGGGCATAAGGGGCAGTTTCAGCCCATACCCTGAGCCTCAGGGATGTCTCCTTTTCCGGCCATAGGGGCTCTTCTCCGGATGGACTACAGATGGGCAAAGCTGGGCCCTGCTTCCCCACATCTCCATCGGCCCAGCTGTAGCACCCGGGGAAACATCAAACCCTGAGGACACTGGCTCTTCAGGCATTTGTTTATCCAGCCTCAGAGCCTGGGCTCTTCGAGAAAGTTTAGGAATTTTCCTAAGAAAAGCCTGTCTCCCCTCACCAGATAAAATGCCAAGTGTTCTCAATCCCTGAGAGGGGGTTGTTGCTCCAGCACCTGTCGTCCTCAAGCCTTGCGACTGGAATGCTTTATCCTGGGACTTTCAAAAACTTAATTTCAATGTTGGTACCAGAATATTTGCTCTGGGGCCTGGAATTCCTGGCACTAGGGGTTATCTTCTCTCCTTGGAAATCTGCAGTCCCCAGAGGACTGAGGACAGAGAAAGGGAAAAAAAAGACATCTAGGGACCTGTATCCCACTCTTCTGAATGGGGCAGGTGGTGTGGAATGGGACACTGGATAGGGCAATTTGCAAAGGCTGGGGCTCAGTCTTGCAGCCCAGAGCTGGTTTCAGATAATTCTCAGGTATTCCCAGGCAAACCTGGCAAACTCCTGGCAAGGCTTTGTTTCTTCTGGATGTGGATTTGGATTTCTACTTAGGCTCAGATTGGGCACTCATGAGGTAAAAGCAGGATCAGGCACAGAGCATGTTGGCATTAACGCATGGCCTGGGTTCAACTTGGACGAACCCTGGGAGAGCATTCCAGAAGCCTGGGCTGGCTCTGAGTATCTCTGGCCGTTGGCCCTGCAGAGCTGTGCTCCCCAGCTCTAGGTGCGGCCTGTGTTCTTGAGGGGGCAGGAAGCCTCTTCGAGCCCTGTGGTTAGTATTCTATGCATAAGAGAGCAGTTCTGACATATCCTGGATTGAAACCCACTTCAGTGGAAGATTCCTTCGGGGGGAAAACTTCCTCCTCTGTTCGTCTGGTAATTTGAATCAGGATCAGAGCGATGGCGGGTTTGCGCCAACCAGAGTTTGAGAGAGAAGTCGCACGGGGGAAGCGCTTTGGCTACAGAGCAGGGCTGGAAATGGGAAGGGGGCAGAGTGCACTTCGCTTTCCCGTGGCCCAGGGACCGACTGTCGTGTTCCCCATGGATGTGTGATGGTGGCGTTTCCTCCATCGCTCCTGGGGGAGCACCCCGTGGGGAAGACACAGGGGCCTTGCAGCCCCTGAGGCTGGGGGGAGAGGGCGGCAATTCTTCTAACATCCGTCTTCCACACTCGGTGACTTCCTGGGAAACAGCATCTCCCTTCCTGAGCTGGGACTTCCCACAGAAGGGACGGTGGTTTTGAGAAGGTGGGGCCAAGACCTGCTCCCCTAGCTGAACACAAGCAGCCTGGTCCCCAGGGAGCCTCTGTCATGGTAGACCTCGGCGGCTGCCACCGGAGGGCAAACAGCATCCACCGGCCTCCTGCACGGACGGCCCAGGGACACGATGCCCGCGGACCGTGAAGAGGAAAGGAAGTGCTACTCACCTTCCCTGGCTGGTTCACAGGGTGGAGCTAGGAGAGAATTCGGGAGAGGTCGGTACAGCTGTGATCCCAAACAGGCAGCCCCTGCAGCCCGGCTGACCATCCGCAGCGCTGCTCTCCGCGTGCCCTCCCGCAACCCCCCCCTCCCTCCTCCCCCTCTCCCTCTCCCTCCTCCTCCACCTCCTCCCCCTTCCCTCTCTCCTTCTTCGCCCCTGCCCACTGTTCTCCTCCCTTCCTCCTTCTCCACCTCTGTTCTTTCTCCCACGTTCCCCAACACCACACAGTTCCTTTTGTGATCAGGAAATCCTTCCCAGTCACAGCTCCCATCCGTGGTTAAGAGGCGGTGCCTTCGTTCCGTGGCTCCTTCAAGCCCCGGGCTCTCATCCCTCCTCAGATGTCCAGATGACCCCACCCCGGCCTGGCCAAACGCAGTGACAGCAGCCAGGCTCCTGCTCTTGATGCCCTTTATTCACCAACGTCCCGGCAGAGGAAGTCCACAGAGGGAATCTGGATTTCTCCAAAGATTCTCCCATAGCCCAAGGGTTTGACTGTGGTACGATGGCATAATGATCAGGAACAGCACACCCTGGGGAGACGCAGGCTCTGCTGCCAGAGGGCATGGACCTGAGGCTGCGTCTTCCCCTTACAAGCTGTGCTACCCCGGGGAAAATGCTTCACCTCTCTGTGCTCTCCTTTCCTTTTCTGTGAAATGCAGGTAATCACAGGCCTCCCTCCCAGAGTTTCTGCGAGGATTAAATAGGTTCACATCCATAAAATGCTTAGAATAGCGCTGGAATTTATTTAACAATCAGTAAATAGTACTCATTATTAGTACCTATTTGAGCCCATGGTTAGTCTGAGATGTGTAGCCTGCTGTTTGAGCTTAAAAGCTGATGTGAATAACTTGTTCCTCAGGTAGGAGAATGGAATCAATGGGGCTAGCGTGAAAATCACATTTCTTATCCATCCGTACTACAAATAATTCTGAGCCCTTACTGCATGCCAGGCATTGCCCCTGGGACCGGGGCTGCAGGAACCGATGTGAACAACAGTTTTTGCTGTTGAGGGGTTTAGAGGGAGAGAGCAAATTTAAAAATCAGTATATAGCCTGATTTCAGAGAGTGATCAGTGCTACAGGAGAGATGTAGCCGAGAAATAAGTCCGAGTATCTTAGGACAGTTGTGACTCTCTGGATAGATGTCAACCGAGTAGAAAACAGAATGAAGGTAGAGGGCTGCCTTCTAAGTGTTTGGGGACGAGCACCCCCAGCAGAGAACTAGCCAGTGCGAAGGACGTGAGAAGGAATGAGCTTGTGGTGGGGTGGGGAGGAGAAGGTTGTGCCCCGGAGCTGATAGAGGGGCAGCGGTGGGCACTGGTGTGGTGGAGGTGGTCGGGCATCCTGGACTTGGGACCAGGTCTGGATTTCATTCCAGGTTTGATTGGGAGTTGTGGACAGTTCCGACTCCACTTAGGTTTGTAAAAATCACTCTTTTTTTTTTTTTTTAAAGATTTTTTTTTTTTTTATCTGACAGATAGAGAGACAGCGAGAGAGGAAACACAAGCAGGAGTGGGAGAGGGAGAAGCAGGCTTCCCGCTGAGCAGGGAGCCCGATGCGGGGCTCGATCCCATGACCCTGGAATCATGACCTGAGCCGAAGGCAGACGCTTAACAACTGAGCCACCCAGGCGCCCCTGTAAAATCACTCTTATCCTGGGAGAGGGGCAGACCACCGTCATGCAGGAGAAGCAGGGAGGACACTAGTGGCAGTTTAGTCTGGAAGACAGAGGACACCAGCTCGGGCTAGCCAGGGCTGCCCATGAAGGGCCAGATTCCGGTATAAATTTGAAAGTAGAATCAATAAGAGTTCCTTATGGATTGGAGGTCAAGTGTAGAGGAGAGAGAGGAATGAGTGTAAGTCCTAGATTCTTGGTCACAGCCACTGGAAGAATGGAGGTGACATTCATGAGCATGGCGCGGTCACCCGGAAAAGCAGGTTAAGTTGGGGGAACGCACAGGAGATCAGGACATGTGTTTGGCCGTGTGGAGTGCAAGGTGTCTACGGGACAGCTGAGTGGCTGTTGAAGGCATGGAAGGTGCTCAGACGACAAATCAGAGCTGGCAAAATAAGCTTGAGTTTAAGGTCAAAGTGGCACATGAAGTGTCTGAACTGGGCTGGGAAGTGAGCACGGGTGGAGCGTGAGGTCTGGGCACCAGCCTTGGGAAAGTCGGTCAGGAAGCAACAGGTGTTGACTTAGAAAACCAGCAGCGTGTGGTGTTCCAGAAGCCGAGGGAAGAAGTGCTTCCAGAAGACGGAGTGAAGGACCACCCATGAGAGGCCGAGTTAAAGGAAACTGAAAACAGCCTGGAACGGGGTGACATGGAAGGGGTTGGTGGTCCCAGCAGGAGCAGTGGTGGGGACGGAAGGTGGACAGCCGTGGCCGAGGGTAAGGAGGACCTGTGAGCACCGAGAACCGGCCAGTGGTCTCTGGGGCTTAGGAACCCAAAGGGATGGAGGCCAGGAGGGAGTGTTTGAGGAAATGGAAATGCTCTGCATCTTGAAGGTGCTCACATGATTACGAATCCTTCTGGAAAATCAGAGCTGGTGTATCATAAAAGCGAATGTTACTGTGATGTAAGTTAAAAATGAGTTTAAAACAGGAAGGATGGGAGGAGATGAAGCAAGCCCAGCAGCTCCCTGGAAATTGTGTGAAAGGGAGCTGGACACTGTCAAGGCACATTTCCATCGCTTTAGGCAAAAGGACACGGTGGCGTGTTTGTATGTTTACAGGACTAACCCAGAATGAAGAAACATGGTGATGGCACAGGGAAGGTCCTGAGAAAGCGAGAGCATCGGGGAACCCAGTGCACACGGGGGGAGTCCTGTC